ACACACACACACACACACACACACACACAAATTTTAAAGTCAACTTGACGGTCACCTTGGTGATTTGCTGTTGATCCCAATTTTTTTTCACCGAAACCCGATTCTTCCCCCCCTGAGATCCTGAGTTTGAGATTTCATAGAGTGTCAGGTCTGGTTTACTACATAGGACATTATCGATTATTTTTTTAAATCTCTCTGAATTAGATGCTGGTAATGACAAGGACTACCCTTGAAGGGATAAAGAATGTGATTCTGACGATTATATAAATTGTGAGAGTAATGTAGGCGTGGATCGCTCAGGAGCTCAGGCAAAGGGGCATGGTAGCCACAGGAGGTCAGAGCTCAAAAGGTTAATAGTGAACCTGAGTTCACTAACCACTCAGCCTCTGGCAGTCTGAATGTGACAGGAAATTAACACAATAACTGACCTTGAAATTCAAAGCCTGGAATGAGGTGGCCAGAGCTTGTACATCATTGATTGGTGCAGTCAGTAATTTGTCTCCTCTGTAGTCACTACAGCCAATCAATAGAACCACCTTGTCAGTGGCTAGGAAATACAAGATAAATACAAACCTTTAAATTGAAGTACAAACTTAAGTTGAAATGAGCATCAATCTTACTTATTGCACAACACATCACTTTAAGGCATGATAAAATATTTCAAACAAATGAGAACCACGAGTTCTTTGGGTCTGAACTTTCAACATAATCATTTCACATGAAGTGGGGAGGGGGAGAACATGGTTTACTGTCACAGTAAGTTGCAGCAAGACAAACTGCCTTAGCTCATAAATTCACTGTTCCTTTCACAAGAGATAGTTGAAGGGAGTGAAGATTTACATTTTAGGTCAGGCGCTGGCATCGGTCAAACAATTAGTTAAGGTGCCAGGGAAGTAAAACCATTCTTTAACAACACTGCGATTGACAAAAAGAGAACCCCATGGCTCTAAACATTCAAAGCATGTAATCACACATTCGAACTTTGGTGCACAGACTGAGCATTACATTCAGCTGAAGTGTAATTTTACACACAATTCTACAACCTTACATCTTACACTGCAATCTTACTTCAGACTTTGCAATCCCGCATTTTATAAGGATATAACGCTTGCTGCACAGTGATTGGGGAAGTGATTTTATAAATGGGGATAAAGGCATGTGAAATACAGTCAAACCTACCCTAACAACCACCTGTACAAAGAACCACTCCCCCCTCCCCCCAACCCTTTGTATTTTTTAAAACATTGCAACAACACTGTCCAAGAGAACCAACAATCTAAGAAGACCACTTTTTTCCTCAACAATGGGTGGTTGTCTTGGACAGGTACCACTGTATATTCCAAAGTTTCAGTGGTTCTTGTATCAAGACCAGCATCACCATGAATCAACTTCTCTACAACCGTGCTACGGCCATAACATGACTGACCTGTGTATTCAGTAGTTTCGTGATGCTTCTTCATCCTGCTCACCAACTGTAGTAATGCACCTCTGGTTGTCACTGTCTGACTCCTGCTTGACACTTCACAATAGTACCAGCCTTGCCAGTCCACTGACTTAATATTGTATATTCTTAACTCCCTAGTTTGACTGCCTGAGGAAATATATAGGACGGGTGGGCTTAGGAACTAGGTGGAGAGTGAGAAACTGAAAAGAGAGATAAGTGATAGACTTTGGGAAGTAGAAAACAAGACTAGGACAAATTCTTTGTTTGTTTAAGTAAAGAGAAGCTCATTAACTCAATAATGGTCATTTAGTGCTGGGAAAAAGGAAGACGGGCAGACAGAAACAACAGAGGGAAAGTAAAGAGGTAGGAGCTACCTGTGACGCCCTCCAACCACCCACAACAAATTCGTTTCTGATGCAATCTCACACCATTCTGATCAATACAGGCTCTTTATCAAACATTAAAAACATATTTGCTTTTCGAATCTACATTCCAAATATTTTTTTCAATGATACAAAGCCCTCAAACTAATACCTTAAGGCACCTTATAATGTCAAACAAGATGTCTCACAATCTCTAAACAAAAACTCCTAGACCATATTTCAGAACAAGACCAAAGGCAGAAAAACTATGAGAAATATATATAAACACAGGTCACAAACCAAGAAAAACATGAGTACACTGCAAGAACTCTACAACTGAAACAAAAGCAAGTTTGACCATCAACATATTGGACATACTTTAATTAATAACAATAATAAATGGTATTCACATAATGCTTTACCCTGATTAAAAGAACACAGGCTCTGGGCGCTTTACAAAAATACAGGAAACAACACAAAGGAATCATGTTGTGTTCTGATTTAAAATCTACACACTCACAGTCATTTGTAAATATAAGTATGAGCCTGCGAGCCTTCACTGACTTCCATGTTCTTACCTTTAACATCTTGACCATCTACTAGTGCTGTTTCACCCTTATACCACTGGTAAGTCAAATTTTCAGCACCCCAAACTTCACATCTGAACAATGCATTTCCACTATGTACCACAAAACAAGAACTTGGGTTTTCTTTAACTTCAAGATCTGAAAAAGAATGAAAGAAATCAAATATAATAATATAAAAATTATGGCCATTTATTTCAATTTTGAGACAACTGCTAGACGCACAGAAATATGTGCTGAAAAGCAGAAAAGCATTATGTCAGCAAGCCATACAAGGTAACAGAATTAATGCAACACAGTAGCCGCTTCCTCTAAGCACATTTATCCATCTTTTATAGTTCAATCTTTTTACGTACTTCCCCCTGTCAAAAAGGAATTTTCATATTCATTCATTACATAACGATTCAACATATTTCCACTTAGGAAAACAGCGAATTCAAAAGTTTTCTTTGTCCCTGTGCTTTCTACACTGCATGCCAATGTCGAATTTGTGTGCAGCTATCAAAGATTCTTTACTAGTAGAGAATCTTTGCAGCTATGTCTTAGCTATAAATACTGCTCAGGGAAAACCCCATGATAGTCTTTCTGTATTAGTACAAAGAGGTTATAAAGAGAACTATAATGCGGTCAAAAATTCATGGTGCGACTTATTTTCAAATATCTTCTCAACTATGGAACATACATTCTCCAATTTTTGCACAGTGACTTGTATCAATTTGTCTTAACAGATCAACATTGTAGAAAACACCTGCAAGCTGTATTCTAGAAAATTTCTTAATAAATACTCATAAAAAATCCAAGTGGGTGGTTTCTACAAATTTATAAATGTTTACAGCTGGGGCAATATTGTTTTTAATAGCAAGTGCGTCAGGTTTTTCTAATCGGGACATTATGCTTATTGAACGCATGCTTTGAGAGCCATTAGTGCAGAAATGTGTTCACTATAACAATAATTTCTTGTAACAAGTTTTACAAGTAAAAACTGTCTTCGATGAACTGTGACGTTGGCCAAATGCATAACCAAAATGTGTGTGAGAAGCGAAAAGTGCTGTGAACAATACCATTTTACGTGTGACAGAGATTTCAAATATTTCATATAAATTTATGTAGAAAAGATTTTTAATCTAGCCCCAATTGTTCTGGAAAAATATGATTTAGTTCAGACAAATTGATACAAACCGCTATGCAAAGTATGGATGACATTGATTCACCCATTAAAGAAATATTTGAGGACAAGTTGCACCCCAAATTTTAGATCGCACTATAGTAGAGAATCTTTGCAGCTATGTCTTTGCTATAAATACTGCTCAGGGAAAACCCCATGACAGTCTTTCTGTATAAGTACAAAGAGGTTATAAAGAGAACTATTGTGCAGTCAAAAATTTGTGGTGCGACTTACTGTCAAATATCTCCTCAACTATCAAACATTAACTCTCTAGCTTTTGCACAGTGACTTGTATCAATATTTTTGCAAAGACCTGTTAGCTCTATTTTAGAAAATTCCTTCATAAATACTAATAAAAAATCCTAGTGGGAGGTTTCTACTCATTTTAAAAGGTTTACAGCTGGGACGATATCGCTTTTAAAAGCAAGTCCATTATTTTTGTTCTAATCCCGAGATTATCATTGAACGCATACTTTGAGAACTTTTAGAGCAAAAAAGTGTTCAGTATAAAAATAATTTCTAGTAACTAGTTTTGCCACTTTTAAAAAAGTATCATTGGTGAGCTGTGACATAACCCATATGCGTATTCAAAATGTGTGTGAGGAGCGGGAAGTTCTGTAAACAATTCTATTTTCCGCGTGAAGGAGGTTTCTAGTATTTTATCTTATTTTTTTTATTTTTTTTATAGTAGGGGGTTTTACGGCGCTCGCAACTGCATAAGGTCATATGAGTGCCATATATATATATAAATTTATGAAGAAAAGATTTTTTAATCTGGCCTCAATTGTTGTGGAAAAATATGATTAAGTTAAGACAAATTGAGACAAACTGCTGAGCAAAGTATGGATGACATTGATTCACCCGTTATATAGATATTTGAGGATAAGTTGCGCCACAAATTTTTGACCGCACTATAGAGATCTTAGCTATGACGTCACGAGTGTCAAACTTGGTGGGTGCGCCGCCATTCCTGAGAGGAATAAAAGGCCTGTCGGTGCAGAGCAACACTTTTCACAAACAGATATAATGATACTCTGCGAAGTCTTTTTATGTTTATTTCTTTTTTATGCGATTTGCCTATCGCTAAAATGTACTCATAGGGATTATTGTGATTGTTTCCCTTTAAATGAGCCAGATAATCTCCAAATAATTCAAATAGGGCCTTTTACACAGTGAGACCATATGGGTGAGTAAAATTAAGAAGAAATGAATCAAATGGACCTGATGATCACTTGTTCAAACAAAAAGCATAATTTTATTTAGATCTTTTGCTATGCGTCGCTCAAACAGTATGTCTAGATTTATCACCACTGACTACAAGAATTAGGTGCTCGAAAAGCAGGAATGTGACTGAGAAGCTGCTAGAACCTTCCGCTGCAACTCCAGCACACTTTCAAGGCTGACTGAATGGAAAAGAACAACTGTCGATGTTGCTGAGATGAGAGAATATAAAGTAGCCAACCAGGAATAGTATGAAAGAGGGGAACAATAAAACAAAATTTTTCATTTTTGCAAAGAAACAAATAATAAATTAAAAAGTAAATTATTTTTTAAGTACAAGCCAAGACTCAAACTACCACCTTTGCCATCATAACTTTTTTAATATATACAAAACCAGAGAGATTTAAATAATCAAAAAAATGATTTAGTTAGTTTTAATATTTTCTTTCTATTCCTTCTCACATCTCAGTCTCTGATCCCCTTCCGATCTCCATTCCCTTGACTTACCCGAGGATTCTACATCTACAATCACAGTCGTCGGCTCACATCGTAAACACTGTTTCATATCTTCACTGTGAACAACACAGATGTAGACACCTGCATCTGAACCACTGAAAAAAAAAACAACAACCCTGGTTACACATATGACAAAAAAAGATCTTTGTCAGACCAAAGTTGCTGCAACATTTCAAAGCTGTGTGTGTGTGTGTGTGTGTGTGAGTGTGTGTGTGTGTGTGTGTGTGTGTGGGTGTGTGTGTGTGTAGGCGTGTGTGTGTATGTGTGTATGTGTGTGTGTGTGTGTGTGTGTGTGTGTGTGTGTGTGTGTGTGTGTGTGTGTGTGTGTGTAGGTGTGTGTAGGTGTGTGTAGGTGTGTGTGTGTATGTGTGTGTGTGTGTGTGTGTGTGTGTGTGTGTGTGTGTGTGTGTGTGTGTGTGTGTGTGTGTGTGTGTGTGTGTGTGTGTGTGTGTGTGTGTGTGTGTGATTAGCCTGCAACAATTACTGATGCAGACAGTGTACCCTGAAGTGATGAAAGGATGGTATAGAGTATAATAGAGCAGGACTGCCTACCCACCACAATATGTTTTAGTAATCAACAACAACAAAATTAGTAATCTCGTCAAAATATTCCTAATACAGCCATGGATACTTGTTTTAGTTTTAGCAGAGGTTTTACGGCACTCGCAACTGCATAAGGTCACATGAACAAGCGGGACACATTTTCAGTTTGGTAGGAATTAGTTTTGAATTTTGCTCAGGTGGCCGGCGAAGCCGGCTCTTATTGATTTTGGTCCACCAAGGGATCTTTCACATGCATAAAACTTGTACACAGGACCTTTGAGATTTTTCGCCCTTATCCGAGAAGGCTAGGCGTTAGATCTTACCTACCCTAAGCTCAGTGGTGAGGCTGAAAGTGAAAGACAGCAGTAAGAAGAAGCCAAGGAGTAGCAGTTGAAAGACTGCAGCAAGAGTCAGGAGCCCAGAGGAGGGGGGTGGGGGCAGAAAGTGGAGATGAAAGCAGACGACATAGCAGTATAGAGAGCAGGAAAGGAGATGAAAGGAGAAAATGTTAGAGAAGAAGATATTCTATTGCAGTCAGGTTTTGAACCCAGGACCTATGGAATTAGAGGTGAATACCGTAACTTGCGAACACCGTAACTTCTAGACCATGAGAGCCCCCTTCTTAAAGTTAGAAAGCTGCATGTGCCATAATGATTTAGAGTGTCGGGGTCTGATGGTTTTTATTCGTTTACTCCTACAGGGTGAGGTTGGGTTGGGGTAGCCGAAAGGCAAACAAATTTTGAAATATCAGAGTCAGGGGTTGTTTTTCGTATGGTTTTATTAAACGGTTCCTACTTCTATTTTCAGCAATATTTTGCGACTTGTAAATGTATTTGTGTCAAGACCGGAAGCTTCATTGCTAGTTCCGTTATTGTCGGCTTTTTAAAGAGAAGTTTGATTGTGTTTTTTAGTCTGAAGTGTCGATCGAAAAAAAAAGCAAACCCCTTTGTTTACAAAGGCAACAATGGCTTGGGGCAAAGGTTTACGCAAAAACGAAAGCCCCGTAAAGCCTTTCGCTGGGTGACGTGGCTGATGTAAGCTTTTTTATTACGACTACACTGTCAGCCACACTGACTTAGATTTCAATAGCAATTTCCAAATGGAGAGAATAGCAGTGACAATACTGACAAAAGGGAAGAAGCTGTTCAGATTTTGAGTGAGCGTCATACTCTATTAGGGGCAGTAGGTGAATCATCCATTAGTTATTACCTGCCCCCAAAGTCTAAATCTAGTACTTGCAAAGTCAACAAAGCTGGTACATCTGCTAGTACCAGATTTATTACAAGGATAGAATTAAGAGCGAGCTGATTGCAGGTAAAGGTCTACTATCAGTGGAGACTGGGTTGTGGTTGACTAGTATTTCACTAATTTCAATTACTCCGAAGTTTTTTAACAAGATCTCTGCTGGAATACCTATGTGTGTTGTATTAATACAAAGGTGATTTACATATATAATAAAAGCATTTCTGTTGAGTATCAGTCTGTATTTCATGGGTAATGTTGAAAGCAAGGTGGATAAAACTCATCAAACTACCAATTTAATTATTTTAAAAGTTATTATTCACCCTTTATTGCATAACTGCTCTTACATAACACAAACAAACATGCAACCCATCTATTGTGATAGCTTATTTAATTACCTTTCCAGTAGTATCAAGTATGTGTACTTGCATTGAAAAAATATGGAAACAGAATCAATTTGAACAAGGTAACCTATTATAATAGGCACTATTGAGAAAATTCATTCCGGCCTTTTGGGAGGGTCAGTGGAAAAAAAATGAGGGCATTAAGACTGAATGCTTCGGATCAAACAAAATACCATGAGGAAAGAAGTGTACAAAAGTGTCTGCAGCAGTGACGGGCGATGTATCAGTAAAGTATGGGGTTTTACAGCGCTCGCAACTGCATAAAGTCATATGAGCGCGCGAAACATGGTTTTTTCTCAACAGTTCATTTCTCGGCCTGATACTGGTCAATATTTCTGTTTAAAATTGTTAAAACGCTAACAATCGAGTGTAAATAGATCTTAAATTTAATCTAAATTTAAAACAACTTTCTAATTAAAGCTTAAAAATTTCAAACAATCTATTTTATAACTTTCCATAAAGGCCAATGGCCTTCATAAAATCTAAAATTCTGTTGGGAACAACAGCAGAAAAAATATCTTGTAATTTTTTGCATTTAAAGTATTTCCTTCGAGTCTCTCCGAAGTATAGACATTCGGTTAAAATGTGTCTAATGGTAAAATCTGTGCCGACACAGAACAGTTTCTCATCTCCCTGAAGGAGGTATTTGTGTGTTAGGGCCGTGTGTCCGATGCGTAATCGAGTAAAAATGACTTCGTCTCTTCTGGAGAGGTCCGAAGGATTTCGCTGTCCCAGTTTGGGTTTAATATTGTGTAGTTTGTTATTTGTTTGTTTTTTCTATTGGCTCTCCCACAGACTGGAGGTGTACTTTTTGACTTTATTTTTAAAGTCAGTCAGTGGGAGAGAGTTCGTCGTTGATCCCAAAAGAAGGGCACGATTTCTTCGCCAGGTCATCTACCTGCTCGTTTCCTCGGATGCCCACATGGCTAGGTATCCATGTGAACACGATACTTTTCCGTTTCAGTCAAAGAGGGTTTTTTTGTTGTAGCCTTACTATTTTTGGGTGTAGGAGCGTGTAGTTTGTAAGTGAGGTGATGCAAGACAGAGAGTCAGAAAGGATAAGGACAGATTTGTTAGGAGAATTTTCTACAGAGTCCAGTGCCATGTCAATGGTAGTGGCCTCCGCAGAGAAAATGGACGCTTCGGGATGGAGTCTCCTCTGGTGTGTACTGTTTGAAGATAGGACTGCGGCACCCACAACATTGTCTTTTTTGGAGCCATCTGTGAAGATAAGCTCCGCAGCGGGGTATTTTTCTATATGTTTTTTGTATTCTGCTTTAAATGTTTTGGTGTTTGTGCTTTCTTTGTCGTGTGTGGTCAGCTGAAAGTCTACTTTTACCTTGGTGAGGTGCCAGGAAGGGAGGTCGGGGAAAAGAAATTGTTGGATGTTTTGTTTGGAAAAGTGTATGTTTTTTAGGTCCTCAAGGATTCTGAGGCCGAAGGGTTTGATGAGTTTTTCGTTGTTTTTAAATTTGCTTATGGTTTCTGGGTTTGTTTTAAAAATGGAGTTGTGTGCTCGGTTCTCTGGTGTTGAGCTCTGTTTAATTGCCTATTGTAGTGAGAGTTGGTGCGTCTGAATGAGAGTGATGGTATGTTTGCCTCGAACTGGAGGCATTCCACCGGAGAAGTGCGGAAAGCCCCCAGAGTGAGGCGGAGTCCTTGGTTTTGCACTGGGTCTAGCATTTTTAGGATGTGTGGTTTTGCCGATCCATAGACTTGACATCCATAGTCAAGCCCGGATCGGACAAGGGAGATGTACAAGAGGAGAAGGTGTTTTGAGGCCCCGCCCCACTCCGGATGCGATAGAATTTTCAAAGCATTTAATGCTTTCTGGCACCTCACACGACGGTCTTTGATGAGTGGTATGAAAGTGAGTTTTTTGTCAAATATAACGCCGAGGAAACGAGCCTAGTCCATGACGGGAACCCTTTCCCCGTATAGTGTTCCACAGGACATAGATAGCAAACATACTGTGTCTCATCAAAGCTGAGGATGCTTTGTGTTTCACCATCCATCCTGTTGTTGTTTTTGTACCACTGATATCTAGGTTGTGGACGTCCAGAGGCTTTCACTGTGAGTCTGAGAGGGTCATACTCTTTCACATGAACTTCTTCAGGAGGATGGTCGATGATTTTGATGGCAGCTACAAGAAAGGTTTAAAAAAATTTTTAAGCTACAAATGATGAAAGGCTACACTACACAAAAGAAATTAGTAGGACAATATAAAAAATATTTGCTATGTACTGTTAACTCTTTGCGCAAATATATAATTGAAAATAAATAATTACTCGTTGAAAAGATCTGGATAATTTACTTTTAAATGGAAGCCAGTTGTTAATGGAAAATACCTTTACTTTTGACACTTCATCACATTTAATCCCTTTATTATTGAACAGAAGTCAGCATTAGTTTTGGTGCTGATTTAATTAACATTCATATATTTATATAATTCTATTTACAGATAATTAGTGTCTTATTTCAAGGTTCATTTTCGAAATAATTCTTTACTCTGTACCGCAAATAAGTGATCCCTAGCGACAAAAAAACCTTTGTTGACCAAAACAGTACTACCAAGAGGGCACATTTTGAGGCAACAGGCTTGAACACTAATGTGCATGCAAAACCATCATCTCACCTTGCAGATTAAAAAGATCCATGATGAAATTGTCCTCGGCAAGACAAGCATAGTGAACAAATTGTCGTATGGTCATACCTCGAGCTCCGAGCATGTTGAAGAGTTTTGCAGCACAACTATTGTGACTCTTCACCCTCTCAATGGCAGCAACGTCAATGTCACTCCTGCTTTACAAATTGAAAAACAAAACCACAAACTTAACAACAGATTTCGTAAAAGCCCTACCTATATTTTATCTTATCTTAACAATAACTGAATACCAGAGTTTACTGAAAGATGCAGAAAGTAAAAGTCATCGATCAAACATTACTGTCTTGCATAAAGGATAATATTGAAAGGTTTATCAATTAAACAAAGGTCACGCTATGCTCTTTCTTGTCCTTTTCATTTGTAAACGCCTTGATAAAAATCTACAAGGTAAGGGATAAATATTGGGTGACGGTGAGCAGCTGGTACTGTTGTGAAAAAAAAAATCATTCAAGTGCTTTGTTTTTCTTACATGGTGAAGTCCCCATCCAATACAGCAACAAAGGCTCTCCATCCATGTTGTACTGTGGGGCTTATGTCCAAATGATCTCGAACCTTCAAATAAATCAGTCCAGGCAGTTGACCAAGATTCTGATCTCCAATAGCATTCAGGTCATTCATGTTTCTCAAAAAGACAAGCAATCCGCCAAATCAGTCACTCAAAAGCATAAACCTGCTTTATTTTGAAACTGGCAAAGGCCCCTCCTGAAAAAGAGAAAATTGCATTTTTTAAAAGTTTTTTAAAGCAATTTAACATGTTAGATAATACATGGGAAGAATTTCGTAACGAGCGACTACTATGAAACAGAGTAGGAATAGAGGATTGGGGTTAAGATTAGGGTTAGGGTTAGAGTTTGGTGTAGGGGTAGGGGTAGGATCACTTGGTAGGGGTAGGGGTATGGTTGGATCAGGGTTAGGGTTGGGTCTATTCTTTATTGCGTTTGTTGGGGTGGTCACTCAATACGGAGGTCCTTTCCATATTAAGTTTTGAGATGAGGTAAAATGACTCAAAATGGATTCAGCTATCAATTTTGATTACATGTGACATCTCTAAGCTTTATTGAGAATTGTGTACCAATGTTTTGTAAGTACAGTCGAACCTGTCAAAACTTGCGATGACCGATAGAATCTAAAAGCCCATTCATAAAGGACGCTGCAAATTAAGGTTCCAACACATTTTCTCTGTTGTAAGCCTAAAGTGGATTTTTAAAAATAAAAGGGGATTTACAGCATACACCTAAAACACTTAACGGCATGTCTACGGGACTGTACAGTCCCCGACTGGGTAGCGCTAGGGGACTGTACAGTCCCCTAACAACAGGATGCCTTTAATTGAAGTTTGAGACCGTGTAGTCTGTCTCTCTAGATATCTAGATCAAGTTTAAGTTTTACAAGACTTAATATATCTAATCTAGATCTAGAGCTAAGAGATGTAGATCTAAATCAAGATCAAAGATGTACTGATGCAGACTCTAGACCTGAGTTTATTTTTCTCGAAAACACTAGGAAACACTCGAAAACGCTAGGAAACACTAGGAATCACTCAAAATCCCTTTAATACTTTACCCCCGGACGCTTACCAAAGCCTTGATTTTCGTCTCATGGCCATGACGAAACTGCCATTTGGAAGAAATGCTATCCTCGACCGGTCCAGAAATACTGAGATTCTAGCATCGAAGTGTATACAGAACCGGTTGTTAGACTATTAGATTGCTTTTATCAATATACAGAAGGGAAACAATAAATCCTGGATTGTTGGTCCCTATATTAACATGTTGAATTATGTCCCTGTAATTGTACTTTTATTTATCTACCCTCACAACAAAGATTGTCTGATCTTAGTGATCTTTACTCACTCCTCCTTCCTGTTTCAATCACATGTACTCATGCTCATTATGATTTATTTAGTCTTGTCAGTGAAGCCAGAGAGGGCAGACCTCATATTATTTTCATCATTAAATTACCCTTCTTCATCTAGAAACGGAGTTCTTACTTTTGCTTTATTATACACAATAATGGCAAACAACCCCAGTGCAACGCCGGTAACCGGGAACAAACTCGTGTGCGTGTGTGCGTGTGTGCGTGTGTGCGTGTGTGTGTGTGCGTGTGTGCGTGTGTGCGTGTGTGCGCGTGTGTGTGTGTGTGTGTGTGTGTGTGTGTGTGTGTGTGTGAGTGGGAAATAGGTGGGGAGAAAGAAAGACAGAGACAAACAAAGAAAAAGAGAAGGCGAGCGATACAAAGAGGAGAGAGAGAGAGAGGGTGACTGCTCGATTGAAATTATGACATTGTTCTTTTCTTGAAATTGTGATTCCTCAAACTCCAAAAAGGAGGAAAAACAATCGTTCATCGAAAAGACATCCGCAATCTTCATTTAGATCTAGATCTAGGCTAGCCTCGAAACTAGATCAATGATTTCTGTATGTCTGTCTAGATCTAGACCTAGGTCATAGATCTAGAAGAACTTAGGTCTACCCTAAGCCAAGAGAGCGCTGAAACTTTCCTAAATCACAAAAGAGTTCCCCAACCGGGTCTGTATACACTATACACTCCCTTCTAACAAAGGCCTAGCCTAATCTTTGATTCTAGGCTGCCTTCTGATACTAAAATGATGATTTCATCCAAAGGTACAAAGGTGATTTCGAGTGGTTCCTAGTGTTTTCAAGTGTTTCCTAGTGTTTTCGAGTATTTCCTAGAAAAATAAACAGAAGTAGTTATTCGCACCGGGTGTGCGCATAAGAATTAATATTATTCGCACCGGGTGTGCGAATAAGAAATAATTATATTCGCACAGGGTTGACCCGACCTGCGCGCCGCGCGAGATCGTTGCGCACTGCGAATGCTGCACGAGACCGCTGCGCGAGATTGACAAATGACACGAGAGTCCGCGAAACTACGCGGTCTTGGCCTATGTAATAAGCTTACCTGCGTGGCATTTTCATTTTTCAAAACAGAGCCCTGAGGGAACCTTGCCAGTAGCTTTCTGTTGGCCCCAACATCTGCAACATTTCATTCGCAAATCTGAAATTACTCAACACCTAGTTCTAGTTTTTCTAGATCTATTCAGCATGGAAGTGGGAGCCAAGTTCAAGAGCTTTTCAGAGTTCACAGAGGCTCTGAAAGAGTATGAAAGTACTAATAACACAAAATTTGTGGTGACACGATCCACCAAAATTGGCCAAACAGACCCCCTGAGTGCTGTTTACGTGTACCAGTCGATCGGATTCCAGTGCAAGCAGGGGCAGCGCCACCATTATTTGTATTCTTTAAATTAATAAACAATTTTTTTTTAAAGAAAGATCAAAGGTGCAAATATAAAATGCACCCTGTACAGGTTCTATCTCTAAATGTACACATGTGTACATTTCGTTTGACGGCAGCTTGAGGGGGGGGGGGGGGGTGTCCTGGGAAAGATGACAAGAGGGGTGGGGTCATTTGTGAACAGTCCTTAAAAGTAAAACTGCAATCATTCGGCCATAAATAATATGATGTATTGCTACAGAGTTACTATATAATGTTGATTTTGGACCTCATTTGTCACACCCAGGTATCCCACCTTTAATTTTAGGCAAAGGGTTTTAATTTTGGAAAGGACTGGGAATAGGCCAGAATTGTTCCCAGTGTCACTGGGATGAGGCCAAGAAACTATTCCCAGTGACACTGAGAACAGACAGGCCCATTAAATGTCTAGATTTATTGTTCCCACAATGATCTACATGGGCATGATGATGATGGGTTACTAAATGTATTTTTCTTTATCTAATGTAGATCTAGATATTTAAAAGTAGATTCTGGTGTGAGTGGAAGAATTTTTTTTTAAAGAAAGGAATGGTCATTCTATGCTTACTTGTAATTCATCATGTACATTAGATCTAGATCTAATACGGATTTTGGAGACCACGGTACAGGACAGGTAAAAATCCTTCCCGATTCTCCATTTCTTCTAGAATCTAGGCTACGGTCAAGTCTTGGCCCAAGTAAGCGAAGAGAAGAAAAGTCTGAATTTAATTTAAAAGAGAGCCTACAGTAAACGTTAGAAACGAATCTAGATACCTCCACCATCTCTTCCCCTCTTTTCACTAGTCTGGTAAACTTCACCCGCGCCTCTATCGTCTCTCATTGTACCTCTTAGGCCTAGCCTAGGCTGGCAATGTGGGTCCACTAAAATAAAGTTCTTGGGCAGAGCAAACTAAAAAATGTTCCTGGTCCACTTTTCTCTGTTTACTATAATTGATTTGCACGTGGCAGCCCCCCCCCCCCCCCTCAAGGGCGGCTCGTGGGTCTAAAAAGTAGGCGTGCACAATTAAGCTATCTTAGGCTGAAGATAATCAAGGGCAGAGAAAATGGGACGGTGTATAATTTTAGGATTTTTGGGTTGGTGAAGGAAGACCTTGTGCTTTTATTTTCATTCTTTTTACTTGTGGCTTTGACTTCTAGAACTATATCTCTGTTTGTTAGCTAAACGTCAATTTCATTCATCCTGCATTAGAACAGAACACTTAAGTAATACCTTTCACCACTCCACTACAAAACCGTTAAAAAACACAACTCATAGGACGACGACTTAAGTATGTCACGTTCACCTCCCTCAGGTTCACGGTCATAGAGTCACTTAAAATAGCGACAAGACAATGAACCAATCACAATTCACTTGAGCACCCTGCTGGATTGCTCCGGGGCCCACATAATTTTGGCATGGAATAGTGCACAGTCTATGGCGTTTATTTTTAGATTGCCTACTGTGGGCTATGTTTCGGCGCTATTCCGCACGAGCACATTTGAGATGTGCCGTCTTATTAATATTATAATGTACCGCCAAACTCTCTACAAGTGTCGTCATCACTTGGGTTATCCCAAAGAGCAATTTATAGGTCAGGTTTCCACTGTTAACTATACTATCATGTTATGTTTAGATACAGCGCATGAACTTAAGCAAGGCATAGTAGATGTTTTACGGCGCTATAGAATAGAAATGACAGTTACGGCGTCCTTGTATTGATATATTTGACTAGTATTTGTTTCTGGCGTCTTTTATTTTATTATTGTGGGTGCTTTACGTCATAAAACAATAAAACATTTTGGGCGGCACTGCACGACCATGCTCTATGGACGAACCGCGCCTGTCCCCCCCCCCCCCCCCGACTGTCGAATACTAGATCTCTAGATCTATAAGTATCCTAATAACTTAAGTGCTGAATGTGCGATCAACCAAAAATTAGCGTACTACGACTAATTCAGTAAAACCAGGAACCTGCTGGTCTAGGAAGCTTAGCTGCTGGTCCATCCTCCACTTCTGGTCTCCCTCCGCTGCCTCCCACTCAAAAGAAAAGGAGTAAAAATAAGCTTACGACATGTAATCAAGTAAATCAGGAACCTGCTGGTCAATCCTCCACTTCTGGTCTCCCTCCGCTGCCTCCCCCTAAAAAGAAACAGCGGATGGGATCAAGTAATACCAATATAATAGTGAGAACCCTGCGCCTGTTCCTGCGGTAAACTTCGTTATCCGATGCCAAGATATTCCGGACTTTGATCTCTTCAATGATTCAGATAGAGGTCCATTTACAACTTTGTCTCGTCCCCCCTTCTCTCTTTGTCTAATAATATCTAGAGATCTCTCTCTCTCGTGGTAGCCCTCACTCACTCCGCCTTGCGTCGCCGGGAACTAGTTCGCGTAGCGGTCGATTAGGACTAATGACTGTACATGTGTAAGTATTTATAAGTCCGTTGTTTGCCTAGTGCGCATTAATACATATAAACACGGTGGGTCCACCAAAGTTCAATCCAGCCCCTATGATCTTTGTCCTTGCGCGATGAGGGGAAAAAATGAGGAAATGGTTGGCCGATTTCCATCCTTCTTTTGAAACACCCTGGTGCGAATATATAACTTCATAGTATTCACACACCTTGTGCGAATAGAATTTTGTGTGCGAATAAAATTTCATAGTATTTGTGCGAATAAAATTTCATAGTATTCACACACCCTGTGCAAATAACTACAGCCAAAATAAACACCCCTCTACTGCCTCTAGGCACTCTAGCTCTAGCTAGACTAGAGACTGCTAGACGTCTACTTCATAACCCTGTTATATGTTGATCTCCACTTCAGCACTTGTACTGTCAATGGTAATTATTATTGGGACAATCAAGAGTATAAAACATAGCCTACCCACACAAAAAAACACATTCATTCGCAAACTTGACAACGGCTTTCCAGGAACAGGAACTGAATCGGATCATGCGTGCGTAAAAGAGTAACACTACTTTAGCTTTAGAGACAAACTCAGACTAAAAGTCAAAACAAACCGAATTATTTGGAAGAACCCGCCACCAGCAAATTAAAAGCCAGCCATTTTCCTTTCACCGCCAGGTCCCTCTAGGCCAATGCTGTCCTCTAAAAGCATAATTTTATTACTACTTTCTATTTTATGGAGAATTTTCAGACAAAAAGAAAGGAGTGGAGCTGGAATACAGTTTTGGGCAATCTTCTCAAAACACACTCCATCCCCTTACAAAGAGTACAATCCTAAGCCTTCTCAGATAGAATCTAGATCCACTGTGGAGGCCTATAGGTACAATCTAATGAATGTCAATAGGCTGAGATGTAGGCCTAGCAATTTTTTATATTATGTAGTCAAACTGGACGCCGCTTGAGACATTAAATAATAGTGTTTTTGTAAAAACCATCTTATAATCTGAACTCTACCTTGAATACATTTGACATTATCAGCGCCTGTTTAATATGACGTCAACAGTTATTTCTGCATTTAAGGAAGTAATAATAATATTATAGGCTTAGGGGGCCTATATTTTTTAAGGAATAATTCTAAAATTTTATTCATTCCATTGATTCGAATATAATCACACACAAAAAGAATGAACAATGGCAAAATAAACTGCATTCACAACTACAACAACAACAACAACAACAACAACAATAATAATAA